AGGCGTCCCTGGGGGGCCAGAGGGGGGCTCAGTGCTGCTGGGACCTGTCCTCACCCGCCCCAGCATCCTCATTGCCGTGTCCCCACCTGTATCTCTTGTCATCCAGTGGGACAAAGTCCATGAGCAGGACGTAGTCAGCCAGTGGGTCTAGCCCAGACAGCTTCACTTGGAAGGTGGGGAACATCCTCCTGTGGGGATGGGGGGGTGGAAAAGGGATGCCCTCCACTCCGGCAGCCCTCCCTGCCCCACTGCAGTACCAACCTGCCTGCCTTAGTGACGATCATCTCGGTGCCCAGGCGGTTGAACTCCTCCCAAAGGCTGCCCATCTCCAGCCGTGCTGTGGCGTGGCACACACGCCGGTTCTTGCCGCTGGTCCCTGGCCCCTCGCCTGCCCACCCGAGGCTGGTGCTGCAGGGGGACCCCTCTGCCGGCCCCCCCAAAAAGGCTGCGGAGGAGTGAGGAAGGTGATGGGGGGGGACTTGATCCTGCACCTCAGATGTAGGAGCAGACCCCATGCACCACCAGCCACCCCATTGCATCCTCTCTCTGTAGAGCAGGTGGGAGGACTGGGGAGTCCTGGCCCCTGCTGTAATGGGGTTTCATCCCCCTCCCCACCCCAGGGCTGCTCTCTTATGGGGCTGGGTGACCCACCGTCCCCAAAAGCACCGTAAGACCCCACTGCTGGGCATCAAACACTGTTGTCACGGGTGGATTTTTACCTGCCATGGATGCAGCGGGTGGTCAGGAGGTGTCCGTGACTCTGTCTCCTGGCACAGCAGCAGTGGGGACCCCAACAAAGTCCCCTTCCAACGCAGCGCCAGCTCCAGACTGTCCCCTGCAGCCAGCTGGAGGTTTTATGCCCCTGCTTGGGGGTGGAGACGTGGGGGCTGGAGCTGCAGTGGTCCTTGGGGGCTGGAGCACGGCCCCCTTCCCCAACCTGCCTTTGTGCCTTGATGCGATGATGATGGACGGGATGCGAGCGGCAACTGTGGGACTGCTGAGGCCATCACTGGTCCCCATCTGGATTTTGGGGTACCCTGGGCTGGGAGGGACAGCTCTGTTGAGGTCTCCTTGTCCCCTTCCTGTCACATATCTGAGTGAGGGGAAGATGGGGGCTGCTCCAACCCTCTCCCCTCGGTAAAGCCCCTCTTGGCATGCAGCAGCTGCCTGTGTGCTGGCGGCTCAGTCGACAGCCTGCCATCAACACCTGCTATTAAAAAGCACAGTGAGGTGTTGAGGCATCCTCAATATGCTGGCTGCTTGTGCAAAGCCTCTGTGACTCTGGGGATGGGGGGGAGAAAAGTGCTTCCCCCACCCTTGCACCCATCCCAAATGCTGGTCCCATCTCTGCCCTGGTACCTGGGATCCCCAGTCCTGCCCTGGGGCTGAGCCCCCTCCACCCCTCATCCAATCACGATGCCTCCTGACAGTGGAAGATGGATGGGGATGAGACGGCACTGAGAGGACAAGGGGTGTGTGTGGGGATGTGACTGACAGAGGGGTGGGGTGGGTGGGAGCAAGGCAGAAGGACTACCCCAGAACTCCTCACTCCCCTCCAAACTGCAATTGGGCCATGGACACCATCTCGTTGCACAACATGGGAGTGTGTTTGGGTGGGCTGAGGGATGCTGAGGCTTTGGGGATGGGTCTGGAGGGAACAGAGAACAATCTCACAGGGATGCTGGTGGCTTTCTGTCCTTGGCAGGACCCTGGTGACGGTGGCACTGGACAAGGGCTGAAATCTCTCACTTCTTTGCACAGAGCAGGCTGTTTTCTCCAAACTGGGACTCAGCCTTAACGCTTCTGCTTTGGGGTCAGTGCTTAAATCCCTCCTGTGGCCATTGAGTAAACCCCCTGGCTTCCGTATGCTGCAGGGTGGCCAAAGAGGGCTGCGTGGGCAGCACTGGGTTTTGGGACCAAGACTGATGCAGACTGAGGATGGAACATCTCTTCAAGCCCCCTGCATCCGTCACATCCCCGCATGTGTCCCATGCCTCGAGGCACCGGCTTGGCCCCATCCGTCTCCCGCTGTCAGCTGGGCTGTGGCTGCGGGGCCAGTATTGAGCAGGGAGATGAGGAGGTGCGAAAGGCAGCGCTGACAGTGGGGAGGAGGGTGGAGGGGGCTCAGCCCCAGGCAGGACTGCAGCAGCCAAGCTCATCCGCGGCTTTGCACTGCGCTCTGCAGCTGATTTTTCTTCTGGAGAGAAAAGGAAAGGCAAGGATGCGGCCCTGGAAGAGTCTGAGACCCCAAACCTCTCAGTTTTGCTGAGTGTGGAAAGAGGTTGACCACATCTGCTGCTGGGCTTGGGAACCTCCATCAGAGCCACCGGAGGCATGGCCAGCCCTAGTGCTTTCCTTCGTCCTTTCAGAAGAGCCCTTTTCCCCACTTGCTGCCCCTTTCAGTCCTTCTTCATGCTCCTTATCTGATCCTTCCCATCACTTTTTTTGGGCACCTCTACCTCAGACTCTCATTTGGCTGGTCCATTTCCAGCCTGATGGGCGGAAGAAGGTAAATGTCATCACCGAGGTGGATGAGCTGCCTCAGTCTCCAGCAGGATTGAGAAGCAAATTCCCCTGGAAGACCTCTCCAGGCAGAAGAAGGACATGAGGCTGACTGTGAGTTGGGTACCCAGCATGGATGTCCCAAGGGCAAGTCACACTTGACCAACCTGAGTGCCTTGGGTGCTGAGATGATGGCTGTGTGGATGAAAAGGAGAGCAGTGGATGGCATTTACCTCAACTTTAGAAAGGTAACCACAATCACCTATTGGCTCCTTGAAGCCAAATTTATGAGCTATTATTTGCAAACAAGGAATTTAAGATGGGTAGAAAGGTGGTTCTTCATCCACAGTGACTGGACTGCTGATGGACCCTGTTACCAGCCCTGTCTCAGCCCCTGTGGGACTGTGCCACATTGATGAAGTCCCCTTCATGTCCCTTGCATGATGATGTCAGACATGGCACTCGTGGAGCTGCTACTGTCTCTGAAACGTTCAAAAAGTGGATGTGAAAACAGTGTTGTTCTGTGGTTTGATCTGAAAAGAGCCCTAAGCCCTGTTGTTCACTAAAGCTGAGGTCACCTCCTCTGGGTCCACTTCTCCAAACTAAGAAATGCAGAGAAAAGATAATGAACTGCTTTGGGCTTTGTCCCTCTTCTGGGACTCAAAGAGATCCTCAGTCCCCAAATTCCCAAATTATGTGAAATAGTAAAGGTGTTTGCTGACAGTCGTTTATTTTCAAGCTCCCCTGCAGAGCTTCAGGCACATCTGTCTTCACATCGATCTCCAAGAGCAACAGGAAGGAAGCAGAGATAGAGCTGATATGTAACTGAGGGTCATTGTCTTTCAGTCCAAGCTGGAGCTCCAGTACCAGACTCATGAGTAAGGTCACTGTGTGCTGAGCCACCCATTTTCCATAGTTTCCTCTTGCAAAAAAAGGAACAGCTCCTATCTTCACCTCTTGCCCTACCTGCAGGGTCCTTGGGCTTTAGTTCTTCATGATACTCTGGACTTCCCACCAAAACCGGAGATCTGGCTGTCCTGTGTCCTTATCACACAACTGTGGAGAACGGAGACCTGTTGGAGAGCAGACTCAGGAGGCTTCCTCTCCCCATTGACCACAAAGGATTCCTGGCTGAGGACCAGAAGCTTTCCTGTGAAGAACATTTAGGAAGCTTACTGTCACTGAGGTGAGGCAGGTCCAAAAGATGATTTCCTGACCAAATATTTTCAAGGAGAGATTGCTCAGGTTTGGAAATTGAGCATTTCCATTTGAATACTCTAGGAACAGAGTAAAGATCTAGGAAAAGTTTTTATAGCTGAAACAATGTATCCTGTATCCAATGAAACCTCTGTGTAAGGTTTCATAGTTAGGAAGAAGTCCCAGCAATGAGGGAGGAAGTGGGTGGTTGAGAGATGCCAATGAGATGATGGATAAAAGCACTGTAAAAACATCCTATTTGTCTGTGTTTCAGGTAGAGCTGGATGATCTCAGAGCCCCAGGCTGAACACTAATAAAGGAGATTAAATGCAGCACTAAGGTAAAGATAGAGTGTGTGTAACCTCCCTACAACTTTTCGCAAAGGTCATTGCTGAACATCCAGAAGTGAGCCAGAGGACCATGCACCATGCAGTGCTGTAGGATTCTACAGCTCGAGGAAAGGTTTGCTTTTGCATCACTCCATGTTTTACCCACACTGTGATATGGCTGTTGGCAAGCTGTTTTTAGTTGATCTGTGCCTAAACTCTTCCTTTAGCTCTTGTATGATTCTCTCCTAGCAGGTCCCACTGGAGAGAGGATTTTCCACTTGGGAGATACCTGCTTGTTGTAGAAGAAACCTCCAGCAAGCAGTTTACACAGAAAGCATACGTCCTACTAATGACAGGAAGCAACTGCACCCAAGTGACTGAGTTCAGCTTAATGGGGTACACAGAGGACCCAGTGACTCAGGTCATTCTCTTTCTGATGTTTCTGCTTAGCTCTCTTGTCACCATCCTGGGGAACCTTGGGATGATTGTGTTAATCAGGGTCAGCCCACAGCTCCACACCCCCATGTATTATTTCTTGGGTAACCTGGCTTTTGTAGACCTCTGTTCTTCCACCACCATCATCCCCAAGACGTTGGCTGACTTTATGTCAGAGAAGAAGAGCATAGCTTATGCTGGGTGCATGGTTCAGGTGTTCACTGTTGATCTTTTTGGGGTGACCGAAGGCGTCCTGCTGGCTGTGATGGCGTATGACCGTTACGTGGCCGTTTGCCATCTCCTGGTGTATCCCCTTGCCATGTCCCCAGAATGCTGTTTCCAGCTGGTGACTCTATCATATATCATGGGGTTGACAAATGGCATGGGACAGACCATTGACATGTCCAATTTATCCTTCTGCAGCTCCAGCATCATCAGCCTGCTCTTCTGTGACATTTCCTCTCTGATATCACTCTCAACCTCCGACACCACCCTCAGTCATGTTATCCTAAGAACTGCAGCATCTTTATTGGGTGTGTCCAGCAGCCTGGTTGTCCTGGTCTCCTATGTGGCCATCATCTCTGCCATCCTGAGCATCAGTTCAGCCAAGGGCAAGAGCAAAGACTTCTCCACCTGCACCTCCCACCTCACCACTGTGAACATCTTCTACGGGACATCATTTTTGATGTACTTAAAGCCCAGCTCAGACAGTTCAAAAGAAGATAAATGGACTGTGGTGCTCCACACTGTGGTGACTCCCATGCTGAACCTCCTGATCTACAGCCTGAGGAATAAGGGGGTGAAGGAGGCTTTGAATAGATTCATAAAAATAAAATGATCTTGAATGTTGTAAATTTATGGCCGGATAGAATGGAGGTGTGGGTGATAGTCTCAGGTTTTGATTAAATATCTCAGATTGATAACACTTTGGGAGTCTTCTCACTTTGTCTCAGAAGCTGCACTGACTGATGCAATATCCTTAGCTGGTTCAGGATGCTAATAATTTCACTCGGTCCTCCAAGTGTTGGTAAGTATGCTTAGTAGTTAATTCAACCTAATGAAGACACAGGTGGAGAACTACAAGCATGCACGGCTCCTCATTTAAAATTTTGCCCTCTACTGTTTGTTCAATCCTATGTATCAGGCCAAAATAAACCAGAAGAATGTGGCAAAAATTTCTGCAATCGGTTGGACTCTAATTCCACACTGTGTCGTGTGATACTCTCCTGTTTGCTTAGAAAATCATGATAAGCAGGGGTTGACTTCTACTGTTCTACTAAAAGAACTTCCATTTCAAGGCAGCGTTGTAGTCATTAAGGGCCATAATAACCAGCCTCAGGATGCCAACAGCTTTAGCAAGAAAAATATATTAGATGACAGCAAGTAACTGGCATGCTACGCAGGAAATATTTTTTCTTTTCCATACTCAAACCTCATTAAATGATTAATAGCCCCGTCCATCTCATTTAACTTTAGACAGATAAAAAATTAAGTTAAATACGGTACTGGTGACCTTTGTTGTGAATGAAGGCACTCTGAAAGCATTTTAAGATGCGGTAGTGATGAATCTCCCCAAAGGCAAACACTATCCAGCAGCCCCTATCTCCTGCTCCACACCTTTGCTTTCCATCTCCCTGCTAACAGCAATGAAAGCCAGAATTTTCACAGTACCCTGACCAGAACAGATCACAGGAGCTATGGTGTTGCCCAGCAGCCTTCCCCTTCAGATCTGATGTTTTGCAGCCCATGCCAGCCTGGACCGATGTCATTGCCTGCCCTGCTATCTCTCCTGCTGGCTTCCTGCAGAGAGAGCTGCCGGGTGGTGCACAGATACTGCATACATGAAAAAAGTGAAAAATACTCCAATTTCGATATTGCCTTAGCCCATACACACTGCAAGCTCTGTCAGGACCATGACAAAATCTGGAGCAATGGCGTAGCCCTATCCTGGAGACATGAAATGACTTGGGTTGGAGGGAGAAGGTGCTCAGTTGGATTAAATCAAGTCAGGATCAAAGCAGTTTGCTGATTTATTAACGACACACAGTTAACAGGCACCCAAGGTCAATCAGCTGAACCCTCCTTTGTTCCCAAAGCTTCCTGATAATTCCCTGGTTATTATTTAATCCAGCTGGCAGTTGGCTGCCTGGCTGGCAAACATCCTCCCAGGCTGGCTGTGCTCCTGTTCCTCTCTTACCAGCCATCTCCTGTCAGAGGCTGCGCTGGCCCCCACGTGGCAGGGACCCCGGGAGGTCTTTATTACAGCCATCCACACCAACCAGGGCCCACTGAGACCCTGTTGTCCCACGGAGCCTTGGGGACAGCGCAGGGCAGAAGTTTCACACTCTCCCTGGCCCTTGTTTCAGTGTTTGAGCGCCCTTACAGTGTGCTTTTCCCCTTCCTTTTTTTAATTTCCAACTGGAATTTCTCATGTTACAAATTCAAGATAGAAAGTCCAAAAGAATAGTGATGTTATTAATTCCTTCATGTGTCCTTTCTTTGTCCCTGAAAAGGTTACAAATGGGTTACAAATGCATTACAAATTGGTTACAAAACTGTGCTTGACCATAGTTATCTCACATTACAAGCAGACCACCCACTTCGTGATGATGAGAGCCTGGGTACAGCCATAGCGAGCAAGGTTGCCCTCTCTCTATCACCTCATGTGTCTCCAGATGTGTTCATCAAGACCTGCTAAACTGGGACCTCTGTGTAATCTCTTGCTCTTCTCCCACTCTTCTGCTCCTCTGTGACCATCACCCTCAGGATGCTGTTTAATGCAGGTGCAGAGACGATTAACACTTTTTTCATTAAACAGAAGACTCAAGAATATTTTTAATGTTAAAGAGCATCTCTTCTTGCTGCAGTGACCTGTGACCATTATTTGTATGTAAAATACAACAATATTCAAGGAATTTGTATCCGGCTGGTATTGCCTTCACCATCACCCACTGTTTAAACAGGAACACCAGCTTTTAGTGTGCTAAAAACACAAGTCTCTGGCCACAGCATTATTGCTCTGCTCGATGTGGCTTCCTGCTGGAGCTGCCGCTCCCAAAACCGAAAGCATTTTGCTCATTGTGCAAGCAGTGTTTGGGGAAATCAGAGGTTTAGCTATGTCTAACAGCCCTCCCTGACCTCCACGGGGTTGGCTTCTGAGCATGAGAGTGGTGGGAAACACCACGTGTGGTTCTAGGAGGAGAGTTATGGAGAGGAGAATGAGCATATAGCCTTGCAGCGCACCTTCCTGAGACAATGAGGTGACTGGCAACTTGCAACTCGTTTTGCATTCACATTGATTAGCCATCAATTGGTTTGGTGCTCCTCTCCTCTGTACAGGCTCCACTTTTAGGTGGAGCTGCCTTAATTTTACTTAAATCTGTTTTAAACAGCGAGTTGAGCAAATACTGCTATCACCTGGGGAGGAGCCACCTTCCCTTGTTTAGGTATCTAGTGATTAGATTTGGGAATTATCTCAAATGTCTTTAGGTGAAGGACTGATCTCCTTAACTTTAAATATACCACATCACCTTTATGCATTGACTGGGTACATCAGCTCCCGTTAGGGCAGAAGAAGGCTCGGCCAAGTCCATCTGTGGGGTTTGGTGTGGCTCAGTGCAAGGCAGACACCTACATTTCTCCAGCTGAAGAGAACGACAAAATCTGCTGGTTGCATTGGCCAGAGTCACATTAGCTATGATGAGACCTTAGCTCAGAAATAGGTAACAACAGATCTGGGACTTAATCTGAGCTGGATTTAAAAGAAGGTGAAATAAATCCCATTCTGGAGGTCTCCTCTAGCTGCCGGGTAAAAAAGCCACAGAAACCTAGAAATGTGGTTCTTTTCCCCTGTTATTAAAAAGGTGTTGAAGACTTGGGCTTTAAATGCGGAGATCCTGCACTGGAGTTGTGACTCCTTTTCATCGTGTGTTGTCCAGATATATGGGAAGAACTATTCATGTGGAGCACAACCCTCCTCTCTTCAGGCTAGCTGGAAAGCAAGGTACCTCCAGTTTCTCTTAGTACAGAAACGACAGGGAGAGTCTTGGTTTGGCCTTACTCCCTTTAAAATCAATGGCCAAGGTATCTCCCTCTTGTTTTCAAAAGAGAATTGGGAGATACTGTAATGGCTCATTTTAGACACAGTTGCTGTCCTGTAGCAAAAAACCTTCCTGAGGTCCTGGTGGAAGAAGCAAGGAGACTCTACCCAAAGACTGGTGAGTTCCTCTCTGTGTCTGCCTTTACCATCATTCACAACTCAGAAAGATAATTTGAATGCAAGAAAGAGGACTTTGCATTTTCCACATCTTGAGAAAGGGGGAAAGTGAGAAGGGGAAGGTTGAGTTGAGCAAGGACAGAGAGACACATGGGGCAGGGCTAATCTCAGTGGGCTTTAGACACCTGCAGTGCCAGCATGTGCCTCTAAGGCAGAACCCAAGAGAAAGAGATGTTTCCTTTTGTGGTAAAATGTGGATATTTGAGATGGGACAGATGATGTTTTGTACTGTACAAACAGTGAAAATGACTGTTTTGGATGTTGTTAAATAGATTGTCTGTGTTTTAGGTGTCTATTCTCAAATTACAGCATAGTCTAAGAAGTCTAAGAAGGAAATCAATGAGGATGAGGAGGTGGCCATCTGATGTGTGGAATGTTAGGAATGAAACACAGAAGCCACCTCCTTCCCCCTGCCAAAGGTGGATGTAAATGACTGCAGTTGAATCTCCTGAACGTGTTTAAAGGTACTAAAGTGATATAGCATTACACTGCATGCAATCAACTGCCCTTTTCTACAAGGCACAAGCCACACTATCAGTTTCTTTTCCTTTCATGAACACCAAACATCTCATTTCCCAATATTTTTGGCAGCAGCTTTCACCCGTGGTTTGTGGTTAAACAGTCAATAATTTTTTTCTGAAAAGAAGAAAATAAAAAAGCTAGTCTTATTTTTTCCTTAGCAACAAGCATGGCCAGATTAATTCTAAATGTTTGCTTGTTTACTTGTTCTTTCTCCTCTGTTTTCTCACTTGACTGCACAGGAGCACTTGTGGGGACCTAGAGGAGTTTAGGGCGTGTGGACCATGCTCAGCATCTCATGGAGCTTGCTTAATCTGCTGATGGTTGGACTGCTCATAAGCTTAGTACCCACCCTTCACTTATCATAGGTAGAACCGGTGTTAAAATAAATACATAAATAAAAGAGCATTTCATCTGATGATTAATTTCGTGTCTCATGGCTTCCAGTTCCTCATGATCGAATAAATTAGGGAAATTTTGTTGCAGCAGCAGCAGCATGGAGTGCTATGGGAAGAGCTTGGCACAGTAATCGTCTTGAAAGAGCAATGAATATCCTTGACTTTAAACCTCTGGATGGGACAGGGTAAATAAAGTTATCTTGGTGACGGGAAGCAGCGAGAGCAGTTCTTTGGTTTCATTCTGTATTTAGTACTTTTGCTTTCATTTCTGTTCCTCCAAAACTGTGAACATACCTCAACGCTGGGTTCATCCACATTTTGGTACCTCCTGTTTCTTCTAGATTTGATATCAGCTTTCTGGTTGATAGCATACATCACGAGGAGCACCACGAGGAGGAGGACCCACAGCTCTGGGCAGTAATGCCTCTGTACCATTGTTTGGGGAGGAATCAGATGGAAGATGACTAAAACAGATTTGACTGTCCCACAGGCGCATAATCTGAAAGAAAGGCTGAAGCCTCACAAGTACGAGACATTTTCTGCCCCCTTCTTGGGCACCAGACATTATAGATTTGGGGATTACACAACTGATACGGCAGAACACTGAGTTTTGTCCTCAGCTGTTGCAGCTGTAAATAATCTACT